GTGTATGTTGACAATGAGCTGAAGTTCTCGGGCCATTGTGAGAAGAAGGCAAATCAAGCGACTAAGCTAGTAGGTCTAATAAGTAAGTCGTTCAGAAATCTAGACGGTCCGTCCCTTGTAACGATCTTCAAGAGTGAGGTGCTTTCCCGCCTGTAGTATTGTCACCCCGTCTGGTCCCTGAGATATGCTAGAGACTGTCAGTTGATTGAATATGTCCAAAGGAGGGCCACCAGACTGGTGCCTGCACTTCAGCACCTCCCTTATCCAGAGAGATTACAGCACCTGCAATTTCCTAGCTTATACTATAGACAGGCAAGGTGTGACCTAATTGAGGTGTATAAACATCTCTGAGGGCACTACTCAGTTGAGTGTTCTTACCTGAAGCTGGCAGACGCCCGCCCCTCAAGGGGTTACAGCTCAAGGTTGAAGAAGCCACAAGTCCAGTTAACTGTGAGGGCAAACTTTTTCAGAGTGAGAGTTGTGAACTCTTGGAACAATCTGCCAGAGAGTGTTGTGACGGCTCCAAGTGTGAGCTCTTTCAAGACCAGACTTGACCAACACTGGAGCAGGTTCAGGTACATTCAGGAGCCGGTACTTGCCAACAGTGCGTAACAGAGTTGTGACCGATCACCCAAGTGGCTAACGAGCCGATCAGTGGTGAAGAAGATAAAAGTAAAAAGTAAGAGTAAATCATGGCCACCTCTGATAAGTACGGTAACTCATGGCCACTCACCACACAGGTATGGTCAGCATGCTCGCCTCACAAGCAAGAGAGAAGCACCTGGGTGTTAATCGATTTGCAGATCGTGTTCCCGGGTAATGGTTAGCCAGTGCAGTTGGCGAGTTGTCCGGTCTTCTCGGACTATTCCTTGACACTGGGTCATAGAGCTCGTTAACTTAAGGTGTGGGTGTGTGATGAGTGACATGTGTATGTGATAAGTGACAGGTGAGTGTGATGAGTGACAGGGTGTATGTGGTGAGTGTGATGAGTGACAGGGTGTATGTGGTGAGTGTGATGAGTGACAGGTGTGTGATAAGTGATAGGTGAGTGTGATGAGTGACGTATGTATAATGAGTGACAGATGTGTGTGATGAGTGACAGGTATGTGTGATGAGTGACAGATGTGTGATGAGTGACAGGTGTATGATGAGTGATGGCATGTGTGATGAGTGACAGGTGTATGTGATGAGTGACAGGTGTATGTGATGAGTGATGGGGTGTATGTGATGAGTGACAGATGTGTGTGATGAGTGACAGGTGAGTGTGATGAGTGACAGGAATGTATGATGAGTGACATATGTGTGATGAGTGACAGGTGTATGATGAGTGACGGCGTGTGTGAGACAGGGCGTGTGATGAGTGACAGGTATGTATGATGAGTGACAGATGTGTAATGAGTAACAGATGTGTGATGAGTGACAGGTGTATGTGATGAGTGAAAGGGTGTATGATGTGTGATGAGTGACAGGGCGTGTGATGAGTGACAGGTGTATGTGATGAGTGAGAGGGTGTATGTGATGAGTGACAGATGTTTGTTATGAGTGACAGGAATGTGTGATGAGTGAGATGTCTGATGAGTGAGAGGGTGTATGTGATGAGTGACAGATGTGTGTTATGAGTGACAGGAATGTATGATGAGTGACAGATGTCTGATGAGTGACAGGTGTATGATGAGTGATGGCGTATGTGATGAGTGACAAGTGTATGTGATGAATGACAGGTGTGTGTGTGATGAGTGACAGGGCGTATGTGATGAGTGACAAGTGTATGTGATGAATGACAGGTGTGTGTGATGAGTGACAGGTATGTATAATGAGTGACAGGGCGTATGTGATGAGTGACAAGTGTATGTGATGAATGACAGGTGTAATAATAATAATAATAATAATAATAATTAACGGTTTATTGAAATAGCTTGGCTGACAGGGTGTGTATATAATGAGTGACAGGGTGTATGTAATGAGTGACAGGGCGTGTGTGATGAGTGACAGTGAGTGTAGATAATGGTGATAGTGTTTTGAGTGCAGGTGAGGTCATAAAGCCGCATCATTAATTAGCTGAGATTGATAGCTGGCAGGTGAAGGGAGGAGGGGGGGAAGAAACTGCCATATATATATAACTGTATTGGTGAAGAGGAGGAGGAGGAGAGAAGAAGGAAGAAGAAGAAGAAGAAGAAGGAAGACTTGGGGTAAAACTGGTACCATGCTGTAATGTACTTAAGACACAGCAGCTGGTCACGGATTGATGAAATATGAATCCAAATGCACTATGGCCTGACACTGTCTTCGCCCTGTTTCACTTGGCACTCGACCATGGCACTACTGTATTGTTTTACGGCGGTCAGTTAGCCTAGGGATGGTTAAGTGACCTCATTAGTGCCACACCTTGATCCCTCCCTCCCTCCCCTTCGAAGTATGGATAGTGGTGAAAGATGGATGAAAGTGGTGGTAGTTGTGTAGGTTGATGGTGGTAGATGGATGACAGTGGTGGTAGTTGTGTAGGACGACTGGTGGTAGATGGATGAAAGTGGCAGGGAGGAGGTGGTTGAGGGGAGGTGGTAGGTAGGGAGGGTCGCCAAGTGAGAGAATGGACGAGAGAGTGAGAGAGAAAGAAAGACAGTTGCTGAGCCAAGACTGTGGTGGGTGGGTGTACGGGCTGCCTTCCTCTACCACCACACTAACTGCTACCTCCATACCTCCACCACTGCTACCTCCAGCATTACCACCTCCAACATTACCACCTCCACCACTACCAGTTCCACCACTACTACTACCACCATTACCACCACCACCGTCAGAGGGTTCTTGGCCAATTATGGATTCGGGAGTTAACAATGATTAAGATTGGAAATAATGTGATATCCTGTATTTAATGGGAAAGTGAAGCCTAATGCAATATTTTATGAAAAGTGGAAACTGTTAACTGTTATTAAGAGTTAAGGTGACTGTTTGTACATTAATAGACTGGTGAAGGCAGTGAGATAATTATACAGTAATTAATAAAAAAAGACAAAAATATAGTAATTAGAGAAATATTTTTAGAACACTGTTGATATTTTTGCCTAATGAAAAGGTTGAAATTTATAAGGGCTGATTAACATAACATTTGAGTTGAATAAAAGTGGTGATAAAGTTCGATATAAATTGAGTTGATCAAAATATATTCTTGTGATTGATGTGTATACCTGTAATAATAGTGAAGTATTGTACTTATCTTGCTTTAATATTCTTAAAGTGAAACAATATAGTGTGTAGGAAGGATGACACAGTGAAGGTGTCTTGAGTGTGTCGTGGATGTGAACTGTTGGCCGAGGATCTGAACCACTTCTTCATAACATTGTATTTGTCTAGAAAAATTTTACTTTACATTTGGTGTAGTAACTAGAGATAGGTTGTGTTAGGAGGCAGGATGACGATACAAGATTCAAGGGGGAATGTTTTTGTGGGTGTTGTCGCCGCCCCTCTGTCGTGCGTTTAAAACTATGGTACCTGTACTTGCTTATACAGGGTATTAGAAATTTTCATCTACCGGTGATGTAAACAATTGCATATATATTTTGGCATGGTATTATAGCTAAAAATAGTTCTAGTGCACAAGACAGGGCGGTATTATAATCTTTTAGTGCCAGTGAACATGATTATTTTCAGGGATTTGGGCAATTATGTATTTATTTTTTCTTTCAAAGTTGAATTTTCTGAACGCTGACGCTGTGTTAGTGAAGTGTGTGTATCTGTGTGAACCTTAAATCTAGAAAACTGGAAATAAGAACCAAAGTAAACTAAAACCTTTAATGATACGTGACTAGATCATCCAACACTGACGTACTGGTGTTGGCTGACCCTTGGAGACCATGGAAGGCTGTGTGTTGGGTTGTACAGCACTAACTAGATGCTGTGAACATTGTTTATGAGGAAGGAGGAGAAGCTTTGAGAGGCTGTGAGGACTGTGTCAAGACTGAAAGAGACTGTGAAGCCTCTTGAAACTCTGGAAGTGTCTTGAAGCCTCGTGAAACTCTTGGGGGGGGGTGTCGTGAAGCCTCGTGAGTGGCCAGACCGGGGTAGAGGCAGTATGGGGGACGATCTGCCTCGCTACAAGACCTTCTGCTCCTACACCGTGGGCGGAGGGTCTGTTAGTTCACACCCACACCCCGTCATCACACCCACGCTCCCTCAGGTGGTCACTCCCTTACGTCCATGTCCGTCGACGTACGCCCAGCAGCAACACTCACAGGGCGTGGTACAGGCCCTCCCCACACAACCCTCCCCACACCATCGCCCTTACTCCCATCCACACCACTACGGGCCCCTACACCCAGCCACCTGTAATGACCAAGGTGGGCTGTGTATGTATGTATGTAAGTGCACAAGTATGTATGTGTGGGTGTTTGTATGTAACTGTATGCATGTATGTACGGTATATATATGCTTGTCTACTGGTGGTCCAAAGTTACTACTGTAATTAATGTTCCTGATGCCATAGTTGGAAGCTTCATGATATTGGTTATGATTGGTCAGAGATGAAGGTCATGCACAGTTTATAATTCATCAGGGCAATACTGTACCTTGTGTTAAGATATGGGTAAACAGGTGAAGGTCATATTACATATTCCTACAGGTATGAGAAAGTTATGGAGTGTGTATTGTTTTTCATTTTTTTTTTTTTTTTATGTTGTCCATGGAAGTTTACCTAAATTATAACCTGGTAACATTTGCCTTTAATCTTATAAGGTGGATTTCTGCATCTTCTTGTTAGAGAGGAACCATCTTAATTCACCCTCTGCAGCAGCATCTTCCTCGGTAGTGCTTCACTCCGCCCACACACTCATTTCTTTTTTATTTTATTTTTTTCTCACAATTTTTCAGCTTACTCGTCGGTCGGCTGGTCATTCTGTTATCTGATGTGGCCTTCATTGACCAGTATTAGAATATGAAACTTAAGCTACTGTACTTCTAAAACAAATAATATATTGCCTTGTGTGACCTGTTCTTATTGTCCCCAGGGGAGTACCGTGTGGGCATCAAGTTCAATGACAAGCACATCCCTGACTCACCTTACAAGGTGTACATCACGCCCTCTATGGGTGAGGCCCGCAAGGTAGAAATTGCTCAGTTCCCAGACCAGGGTGCCATGCCCAACAAGCCTCAGTCTCTCCTGGTCACCAAGAACGGTGCACGAGGTCAACTGGACTGTAAGGTGAGGAAATATCCTTTAACTCTTATCCATTTGTTTATCATTTATCTTTTTGACTTCCTTCTTGTGTATGGGATGGATCAATGGAAATAGAATCTCTGAGGAAGAAGGGAGGGGGGATAGGGGAGAGAAGTGTAGGATAAGTGTGGAAACTGACAGGAAAGTGTTCAAACAACAGTGAGGAACTTTACACTCACACACACACACACACACACACACACAAGTACAGTATATCACTTCCAGTCTCTCTAAGTATTTACTCAACTATAGTACACATATTATTATACAACAGAAACAGCCTTGTGAGGGCCTGACAGACTCTTTACATAAGTTACCCCTTATTGACTAGTGTGTACATAGTCTGTTTTCTGTGAGGTCAATTGTTTGTTTACTTGTATATCTGCACTGTGTACGTATATAGTGTATCTGTGTTGCATTTCTTGTCTATATATCATGCTGAATCAATGTAAACTTGTATGGTGATATTACTGAATAAATATGTAATGAAAAACTTATCTTAGTGGTGACAAGACCAGACAGTTGATGGTGTACTGTACCTTGAAATTCAGTCACAGCTCTCACGTACCACATTAATAGTACGCTGTGTTTGATACTTAACTTTATCTATCCTCTTTGCTCCTAAGTTACTTTAAGGTGAATTAACAAACCAACAATAGATTTATAAAGGTGAAAATAAGGTAGATTATGTATTGTGGGTCACTTTATGCTTTGAGATAGTAGACTAGGTCAGGTCAGGTCAGGTCAGGTCAGATTAGTTCAGCTTCTATATGTACAATACTTCCCATAAACTAATTTTCTAGGTAACTGATGATGTTTAAATACTGATGTCAAATGAGTTGCTAACTATGTTTTAGTATTTTTATGGATTAATGACCTTAATTATCTGTGTGAATTTTATAATAGAAGAAATAAATGTTTGTTAATAAATGTGATAGCCATGACACCTCCTTTGGTTAAGTGTCAGTTTATTGAGTAAAGATTAAGAAATTACTTACATACATATATAATAATTTACAGAGGGTAACACTTGAACTGGAATTAATACTTACTGCCAATGGTGGTCTTTCTTAAATCACATATACACAAGAACATATACAGTTCCCACAAGTAAGTCAGCATTACTTTAGCTCAGCCACTGTCATATGGTAACTCGATTGTTAAGTCTTTATTATCAGGTAATTTGGGGGATCACCTCAATGTGTCTTCCCACTTTAATATTGATTTAACCTAACCTAATCCCCAAGTACAGTAGTACCCCGATTTACGCGGTCAATTGAACCCATGGGGTACCGCGGAAAGTGAAAACCCCGTAAAGTGAACAACAGAACATATGGGATTAATTCCAATAGAGACTGGCCCGACCCCCAAACTCCACTTTTTCCGACACAATACCTATGTTGTAGTAAAAATAACATCTTAATTTTATGATGGTATGCTCACACAATTAATAATTAAGAGAAATATCAATAATATTAGGTTTTTAACACTTACATTAGTAGAAAAGATGGCTGGGCACACGGGGATGGGGGTTTGGTTCCGAGGCAGAGGGCAGATTATTGGCCCTCACCTGTCTCACTTGTATCAATTGTATCACTGTCCACCACATAGGCTTGCAGGGCCTCTTTGTCAAACCCCTCAAAGTCCATATAAGTCCATATCCTCACTATTACTGACTTGGGCCGGCTGTGGCGGGTGAAGAGCTCGGTAATGTTTTGATGACTGGGCGACCTTGTGCGCATCCTGTCCGTGCCGCTTCCCGCGTATATGAGTAGATGAACCGCGTTAAGTGAAAGTCCGGTTCTAGCGAGGTACCGCATAAATGCGAAATCGCAGAAAGTGAAACCGCGTACAGCGGGGTATTACTGTATTGTTAGGCTGATTAATCTTCAGGTGAAACGAGTTGGGGCGAATCTTCTAGTGATCCAATTTTTTAAGCATATGACAATTATAAGTTTGAAAAAGAAATACAGTGTATGCGCTTCAGAAATAGAGAATATTTCATTCCTGTAAGAGTAGAATTAATGATATATAAATGAAATTGTTGAGGTGTCATAGTGACTTGTAGCTCCCAGCCAGTACAGTAGTTACTGACCTAAAGATGTGCTTAAATAGCCCCAACTTCTCCACCAGACCTACTGTATAGTTTACCTTTTGTACACCATCACTCTTGGCACTCCATCACACCTCACTTTTTTCTATTTATTTTGTTTTTTCCTGAATCCCTTTATCTCCTTTAGACTGTTAATAATAATGCAATTTATCCATGTACATACTTGAGTGTTGCTTTACATTGGTTTTTGTGATTCTTTGCAGTTTGTGGCTCCATCAGGCCAAGAGGAGGATTGTTTCACCGATCTCCTTGACAATGACACATACAGCGTACGCTTTGTGCCAAAGGAGATTGGCATCCATTACGTTCATATCAAGTTCAATGGTATCCACATACCTGGCTCACCATTCAGACTTCGCATTGGCAAGGATGAGGCCGACCCAGCGGCCGTTTCCGCTTCCGGCAAGGGACTGGAAGCCTGTGTGTCTGGTAAGTTAATTAGTTAGTTATTTAATTTGGTATACTAAAAATATCTTTGGAACTGTGTGGTCAGTCAATCAATATGAAGCCAACTTCAAACTGTGTATCTGTTGATCAGAAGTATAGTATAGGGCAGTAGTTCCCAAGTTAACACACTGTACAGGCAACTGGCTCCTCTTGTATGCAAGAAATATTATAGAAACTGTCAGGTAATATTTTGTTGATGTTGTTTAGGTTTACATCAGATATTTTACCATTTAGAGCAAAATGTTGTTTTAATTGTATTTAGATCACATGATGTATACTTCTTTTCTATTTAATTGCAAGAAAATGTCCTTATTTTCTAGAATAGAGAATGGCCAGGGAAGTTAAGTTGTGTGTTTTATTATTTTTTATATTGAGATCATTCTGTAATGATGATGTTTGTCACACAGGTCAGAAAACAGATTTCATCGTGGACACGTGCAGTGCTGGTGCGGGCACTCTAGCGGTGACAATAGATGGTCCATCTAAGGTGTCCATGGACTGTACAGAGGTGGAGGAAGGATACAAGGTCCGCTACACCCCACTAGTGAACGGAGATTATTACATTGCCGTCAAGTACAACGGCTACCACATAGCAGGATCTCCCTGGAAGGTAATGAGTTTTTCAACAATTATTTTATTTATCAAATGACACTTGACACTGAGTATTGATACCATTCTCTTAATGACTATTGCACACGTATCATGAAAAATTATAATAATAATAAGTTAGATAATCCAAGTTTCTAATAAAAATCAAAACAATATTAGCTGGTACACAAGTCATAAATGTACTGTACAGGTAGATGTAAAGGGGAATTTTGTGAACATTTGATAGGCCTAATACAGTACCACTGAGAAGAGCGGCATGGCTGGGAAATGTTCAGTGTTTATGATAATTGTAGACAAATTAATCTAATAAAAACAGGTTTAATTGGAAAGAAAATGAGCTATAAATATTAGGTATGTAATTACTTATATAATTAAACAAGAGGAAACAAGAGTATTATCTAACCAAAAAGTTCAGTGTGAGTGAATTCAGTCACCCAGACAAGGTCAGTGTTAACAGAAGTGACACACAAGCACTCTGACAGTAAGTCATAATAAACAAAGGAACATCATCCTGGAGTTAACCTTTGCATCTTTTACCATTGTAACGTGGTCGCACCTGTCTCCTTGTGGCCGCACCTGTCTCCTTGTGACCACACCTGTTCAGATTATCCAGGGTAATACTGCTGTCATGTATATCAGTCTAGTGGTGGGTAAAAGGGAAAGTGTATGTATGATGATGATAATACATAGACTGGTGTATTGCCAAGGTTTCACAGTCTAGCTGGTATGTCCCTAATTGAAGTGCTGAGTATTTTTATAGATAAATATAGGTATATTATATATTTATAGAGAAGCAGTCAGTGTTTAAATGGAAAGCTTGACATTCCTCTTTTTGGTCGAGTAAGTATAATTGGAACAACATAAAAATCATATTCAAACTTTTAATAACATGTCATCTTGTTGTTAATGACAGGTGAAGTGTACTGGTGAGGCGCTGGCAGATAAGGGCACCTTCCAGGAATCATCGTCTGTTGTGGTGGAGACAGTTGAGAAGACCAAGTCGGGCGATAAGGCTCACCAGGGTCCTATAATCCCAAAGTGAGGAGTCGCTTCGATACCTAACTTAACCATACACCTTCCACCTCCTGGTACTTCTTAAGCTTACCCATACCTCTTCCACCTCCTGGTACTACTTAAGCTTACCCCTACCTCTTCCACCTCCTGGTACTACTTAAGCTTACCCATACCTCTTCCACCTCCTGGTACTATTTAAGCTTACCCATACCTTTTCCACCTCCTGGTACTACTTAAGCTTACCCATACCTCTCTGAAAATAATACTTGACTTTATTATACATTATTTATTTAGCTCAAACACTTTTTATTTATCTTCATCCTTGACTGATAAAGCCCAGTAACTAGCATTGGGGGTGTTAACTGCACATAGATGTATTTTGTTCATTAAGTATGTACAGTACTTGTAAAGTATAACGCTCTGGTTCACAGGTTCCAGTCCGATGCAACAAAGGTAACAAGCAAGGGTCTGGGATTGAAGAAGGCTCACGTCAACCGCCAGAACAACTTTACCGTCAACGCTTCCACTGCTGGTGAGTTACGTCTCCAGTTGTATTTATTTGTTCGGTAAAATCAACCTACGAGTTCACATTGATTCAGATTGTTTGTAGATAGTTCAAGTATACAGTTCAGCAAGTATATAGACAATACTGGTACAGTCTACAATGTTCAAAGACTGTGTAGGTATACTTTGACATTGTGTTTATAATGTATGTAAAACTGTAAACCTAGAATTGAGATAGAAATGTGTTTACGATTTTATTTTTTAATGTAAATAAGCTCGAATTATTGTTTCATGGTAAAATATGAATGTCATTTTCTCCTGCATTAGCAACTGAGGATTGTCCTAACACCCAGAGCTTATTTGATCTATCCATATACTGTACTGTATTATATTATATACAGTCTATAATAAAAGATTAAGTAAAGTACATATATAGACTGAAGTGTTTTACAGAAGCTTTTTAGGCCATTATACTGGAGAGTTATAGAAGATTTATCAGCATCATACATGACTTTACTGCACTGTACATGGTTTATCATTCTCATTACCACATTGCAGGAAACAACATTCTGTATGTGGGTGTGTATGGTCCCAAGGCACCGTGTGAGGAGGTGTACATTAAGCATATTGGACATAATAATTACCAGGTAAGACTAAACATCGCCTGATTCTTGTCTTGTATGCGTTCAACAGAGATATTGGTTATTGAGACACTATCCAGAGTACCAATTGGTTATATTTACTTTGATATTTAATGTGAACTTGGTGAAGATCTTGTGTAGGAGGAACCTGTGATGATTACTTGTACATATTACTTACCGTACATATTACTTACTGTACATATTATTTACTGTACATATTACTTACTCTACATTGAGTTATTTAGAAGAAGCACAGTTACAAGTATTTGATCAATGTGGGTAAAGTTAATATGTTTATAATTGAACTTTCCAACTGTTTAATAATAAATATTTCCCTCCACCCCCCCAAGGTCACCGACTATAACATTTTGACTACTCATTTTCAGCATTTTTATTCTATATACATTAGCCTTGGCATACACTCTTAATCATATGCCAGTTAGTTGAGTTTATTTTACTATGTGTAGTGAATTAAAGGTGAAACTGAATACAGACATGATCAGTGTTTTGGTGTTAGAGAGAGACACTAGTAATCCACGTATGATAATAGTTTAAATCCTGTAGACTCAAAAGTACAGTGTATATTTAGGTGTTGGGTACATTTTTCACTGAGATTGACAGTTGAAGAAGAAATATTTACTTGAATGATACAAGGACTCGGAAATGGACGATTATATAAGTGGGAAGAAGTTGAGTGTGGTATGAGACTGAAGGTTCAACGCCTGTGTGTGTGAATGAAACGAATCGATAAAGTGAATAATGATGTGAAGATTTTATAAGGTGAAGCTGTGTGGAAATCTTGAGAAGTTGATTGGATGAAACTATTAGGTGTTAGAAGGCAATTAGGACATGTAAAGAAAAATAAATCAAGGAATACTATTTCTGGTAATACTATACAGGTACAAAGAGGATAATTAGACCATACAGGTGAGATATAGAATTCATGGTTGGAGTTTATAAATTCAGGTGTGTCTCAGATCCTATATGTAATGAAAGACTGGACAAACAAAACTACAGTACTACATTAGTTGTGTATGAAAATGAAATTAGGAATGGTAATGCAAGTTATGGCTGTTCACTGTATATTGTACTGTAAGTGAGGCATTTGGTTAGTTTGGAAGGTCAGCTTTAGTTCAGGATTTAAATATATGTGTCATAGAATTCTCTTTTGTGATTAATATACATATCTAATTGACTTGAATTAAAAATCAAAATTCCTGACAATATTTTACACATTTATTATACACTCAAATAGATGGGCATGAAGTTAATTTAATGGAGAGACAATTAATGTATAAGAAAAACAAAATTGAACCTAAATTATCTTAAAGACAGAGAGGAGACAAGAACCAGATTACCCTAACACTCTTCTGAACAACAGGTCAGTTACAAGATCAAAGATCGCGGCGAGCACATCCTATTGGTCATGTGGGGAGAACATCACATTCCCGGCTCCCCCTTCGTGGTCTCTATGTTCTAGTGTCATCCCCAAACAGTCTCAGTACAGTTGTAGGTTGTATCTGGGTGGTTTATTTCTATCCCTTTGCCTGGTCTGATGAACACACACCCTCCCCCCCTTGCAAAATTTATTATTCCATTTATTGAGAGTTTGTTTCCTGTGCTCATGCCATGTAAAAGTGTCTTATTGGAGGTGTTATTTTTGTATTTTTCACCCCGTGTTTGCTTTGATGTTTGAACTCCTCTCGACAAGTTTCATTATTCCAATCGGTAAAAGTTTGCTGCCTCTGTTCCTCCCACCCCCTTGCCTGGTCTTACACATTACCCATTCTTCCAGAGGTGTGACGGTTATTGTCTATTGAAATATTTCTGCTGCCCTTTGATTGACGACATGTATACTGTATTTTAACTTTCTAATTCGTCTGCTAACTTCTGTTATACAGTATTTAGATGTACGATATCCAGTGGAATGTGAAAGTGTTGTGTGAGTATTAGAATATCTGTTGTTATTTCTTCAAATCCAGGTCAGTTACAAGGTTCACGACAGAGGAGATTACATCCTCATTGTCAAATGGGGAGAGGACCACATTCCCGGCTCCCCCTTCTCCATCAACGTATAAGATAATCCCCTCTAAGATAAACCCAAGTGATAGGTTTGCCACATCTTTCTTGTTGTTATGGATTGTGTTTCCCAAAACCCTGCCCCCCCCCCCTCTCTCCCTCCTTTCCATAGTTTGTGTATCTTCTCCGGAATGCTTATGTTTGTGACTTAGTGTTGTTGTTTGGTTTGTTTCTACAGCACGTGTGCTCAATCAGGTTATTTCTTTTTGGTAAATCATCACATGTGACATATTGTGAATATTCATTATTATTTCTTCACCAAAGATGTCAGAGGCAGCATGAGGGCTGGGAATGGGAGATAATATCTGTTTGCTTTTTATTTATTTATTTAATTTTTATTTATTTATTTTTTTACCATAAAGAGAAGTAAAATATATTAGATGACATTTGTTACCAAATGTATAATATTCCCAAAGTTTTTAGTTATTATACTCCATTATGAGTTTTTTAATCAAATGAATCAGAAATTAAAGTGAAGGTTTCAAAGGGATCTTACAGTATCATAAGTTTTACAGTCCCAAGGTATTAATTTATTGCTGTACAATATATAACCTTTGTGAATGTTCACGTTATATTTGGTCACTATGGTAACAGGTGTTTCCCTCTCCTGCTGCTCTGACGTCACAGTTTTAGACTTGTTAAGTTACATGTTCACATTGGTGTTGTGCCAAGTATGTATGCATGGTTTAGACTTTTCTAAGATATTTTAGTGTTCATCAATATGGAAAGTTGTTGATCTGAATTATGATCAAATGTGAAGACAAAGTTCATCTGTAAAGCAAATTTTACAAACACTTTAATTTTTAGTTGATGACCCAAGTGGGGGTTGTGAGTAATAACCAGCTGGCATCATGAGACAATTATTATAGGAATATCTGACCAGTGGTTGTTTATATTTCAGTGGACTATATGCATCTGTTTTAGCTTCATAAATTTTGATTGATTTAATAAAACATTTTTACTGATCTGTTGGTGGTATTTGGATGCAATTTATTTAGATTTATTTCATTTAATTTAAAATGGTCATACTGTATTACACATTGACATACAGTACAGTACATGTGTAATACTGGCTCATCAAAAGAGAATGCCCAGATTTATCTATCAATCATTTAAAATCTTGACTTTCCTGTTTGATGGGCCTCAACTGTATAATGTGTCTACTGGTCTTAGAAATACCATCCTAGTTCCACCCAACAGTGAGGTACCTTTTCCCTGCATGTTTGAAATACCTAATTGATGATGATGTTTCTTTACTCCTGCTGTCATTAATGCAGAGTCACAGTGTTGGCATATAATGTCTTGGCATGATTTTTTCTTGTTTTTTTTTATTTAGCGAGTGTATTTACAGTAAAACGTAAGGGTCAGTGACAGAGTTTGAATGATAATTACTTACCTCTTTTATAAGTTTTGTCAATAGTGCAAAGTATTGATGATCGGTGACACTTTAATGAGCATTCACATCAAAGGAGAATCATGATGTGATACTTAGTTGATCTTTCAAGTCTTAATTCACATGTAGGAGATGCAAATTGTGGGCATGACGCACCTGATGTATTAGTTTACGCTTTGGGCAGAATATCACGTGATTCTTTTTGAGTAGAAGGCAATGTAAACCACGATGCACACAGCAGAAAGATATGTTAAAGCATGACTCAGCTGTAGTTGTAGTAATTATTAGATGTAATTATTTTTTGAGTAGATGGATATTGCTGAGGTGTACGGCCACATGTTGTGTCCAGTTATCACTTCATGAAGTAATATGCAATATTTATATCTGCAAAGAGGGTTGTTTACTAAAAACTGCATCATTTTCAAATACAGTAATTATAGTACCAATGGAAAACTAATATTACCACTGCATTCTAATGAAATATTCTTACTTGTTGATCTTAAATTACTTTGTGGTAACAACAGCATTTTATTTCTTTATACTGTATGTATATTTATATATGTACTGTATATTTTTAGGAGTTAATACAGTATTACATGAAAGACTTTAAAGGGAACTGTTTTACAAATTATGAATTAGTTTGACACGAAAATACAGTAATGAAGGAAATGTTTTATTGTGTCTCAAGAATGAGAGCGGTGTACTGCACTGTACTGTACTGTACATGTACAAGATTGTCACAATACAGTGCATCTCATAACCCTTCCTCTTATTCTGTAATAATATACAATGCAGTTATAACAATGTATGAGTAGCCTTCTGAAACACTCACAAGCTTCTATTCTTTATACTGTACTCAAATATTTTTTCTCAATTGATTTAACCGTTGGCTTGATCACTCCCTAACAGTTTACCTTCTTGTGTGACAATGCACTAAGTTCATGTTTTTCTCCCCAGATTGGTTATGTTGTTCGTGACAAAGGTGATTACATCCTGATGGTCAAGTGGGGTGATGACCACATTCCCGGATCGCCCTTCCATGTCACTGTTTAAGAAAAGACTTTAGAGGAATTATTTTGTCACACAGGATAAATGAAAAAAAAAAGCCCAGAAAATATAATTATTAAAAAAGAATTATTTTTGTCATTTAAGAGGAATGGCATCAACTATATATGTGGTTTAGAGGTAATTGTTGATCACAGTTTTGTTAATTCCTTCACCATTAAATGTTGTTCAGTTAAAAGCTCAGAACTAAAACTGCTTATGTGAATTATTTATATATATATATTTTTTTTTTCACAAGCTACAGACAATATAGATACAGTATTTATGTTTTTCCATCCTTGATTTACATAAATTTAGGTTACATGTTTAGTGAACCAGCAATACAACAGTATATAGAACCTCTATGTATTACAATGTGTTCATATATGAATGGTGTACAACCTTCATGTTCATTTACAGTCATGCAGTAAAAGTTCATAAATCCTAATATAATTTTTTGTCATAAGTATACAGTATAGGGTGCTCCTGTTATGTTAAGGCTTTGGCTTATATTCTTACATGCTCACCAATAGTTATGCCTAACGATTGGAGAAATGTATAATTATCATCATTATTATTATTATTATTATTATTATTATTGTTCCTGTTGACTTGTTGAAACTGTAATAAATATTATGTAGTTTATTTTATCTAAATTATTTTAGGTACTTAAAATTTATTTGCTTTTATTTTGCTCTGCTACTAAAGGCTGGGATATAAAAACCGTTGAAAATATTATTCATCGAGTTTTAATGTTTTTATTTATGTGTAAGAATGGGGAATAAGTCATTTCTCAGTCTTCATACTTTGTAAAATACTTAAGACTTGCTTGATATGGAGAGAATTCTTCCAGTTTTACTTATTTTACTGTCAAGTTTTATTTTGGATGGTTCACCCTATGTCACTAAGACTGCAGATCCTTATTAATGTTAAGGGGTTACATCAGGGGTTCATAGGTGGCTTTGTACTGTTTTTGGTGCCTCTGTGTGTGTCTGTAAAGAAGATGTGCATCATGTCAAATTTGAACACTTGCTTCAAACAAGCTTAGGAATTTGAGTGTTTCATGGAAATACATCTTCCCAGCACACCTGAGTTTTTGTGTATATTTAAGTTCAAGTTTTCAAAATTGACATATTAGAGATTTTAACACCATACACACATAATAAACATCTTTACAAACACATAGGTTCCAAAAACAGAATTTTGCTTATTTTGAACCCCTGATGTGACCTCTTAAAATCAATGAAGTAATATTTCTAGGTGAATAATGTGATTTATAAGGGACTTGTTTTCTTAGTGATACTATGAATAGATGACGTGCCAATTTCGCCTCTCACTGCAGTTTCGCTGTTCCTTACATTGCAGGAACCTTGGGGTCAAATATGTTTCTTAAGCCCGTCTAGCCAACTGGTTCTGTAAGCTTGGTACACACTCAACATAGGGTCATAACCCAGATTTTGAATATTTTCTGAAAACAAATAAATGCTTAAGTGGGTTACTTTATGAGTTTTATTTATGTACCAACTTATTTGAAATTTTAAAAGTTGTGTGGAAGGTTGTGAAATGTTGTAAGTTGTCTTAAGAACAGCAAGGTTTGGCAAGTGTGCGAGCTGTATGGAAATATCTGAAAGTTTTAGAAAGCCTGTACAGTACAAGCTTTCCAGGAGTTATAGACCTGGATCATTCTCATATAAATCTAGAAGTTAACTGAAAGGTAAAGAAAACAAATATTTTTTGGAAAGTCATGAAAGTCTGTAGAACTTATTAAAAAGTTGTCTGGGAGTGACATAGAAGGTATAAAATAACCAAAAGTTGTTAGAAATTGATAGGTAAGTCTAATGATTCTGTATGGTGTCTGGAAATTCATGAAAAAATAAATCAGTAGAAAGTATAAAAGGAGTTTGGAAGTTTTTTTTTCTCAGGAATTGGCCCACCTGGGCGCAGGCCGAACAACCCACAACGGGGCCTAGGGGGCGAAGAAATAAGAATAAAAAGAAATAAAACCTGCAGCTTTTTAAAGTGAGAGATTGTATGAGTATGGAAACACAGAAGAAGGCAGAGCATTCCACAGTTTGGCTGTGTGAAGAAAGAAGGAGGTACTATAACGGGTTATTTTCGTGTGACCGACATCCACAGAGAAACAGTGGGCACTGCAGGCAAGACGTGTGTTACGAGCCCACGGCCTTGCCGGCGGTACACAGGATGCCAAATCCACCGAACATTGCCCGTTAAAGTACCTGTAAAAGAGAGAGTGAAGCAACATTGCAGCAAAGAGAAAGGGAAGAAAGATTATCAACTAAAGGAGGAGAGTTAATAAGACGAAATGCCTTTGATTCCACCCTATCTAATAGTTGGACAGAAGAAGAGCCACCCCAGCTATGAGAGCAGTACTCCAAGTTTGGACGAATGAATCCCCTATATACTTGAAGCAACTGCTCAGGAGTGAAGTAACTACGGCATCTGTACAGCATTCCCAGCATTCGGGAGGCAGCTTTAGCAATGTTGTCGTTGATAAAATATTATTACAGCACTTCAACAGCTAAGGTCTTCAAGCATGTAATTAGGTCAGCAATTACACTATTCTATCAACAATTAAAATTAATGAGATAAAACTCTCTAGATTTTGGATGTTATTTAAAAATGGTTTGGAAAATTTGTATGAGTATGTTGTCTTGAAGTTATCCGAGTGAAAATGTCTGGAATGTCTAAAACTTCTCTGAAAATTAGTTGAAAGATCTAGAAATATAAAGATGTCTGGAAGTCATATAAAAGTCACTTGGAAAGACTTGAAAGTGTAAAAATTTTCAAAGTACAGTACATAGAAAAGGGATAAACAGTTTGAATGAAAAGAAGTTAGAACAATTATCGAGAAAGTATGAAGTTACATAGAAGTGGTATGAAAGATATGGCACAATACACACCTATAAATGGAAAAGGAGTTAAATTCAGGGAGGAAAAACAAAGAGGCCGACTAGTTCACATAGATTTATTTTCCAAAAGATCCAATAAGCAGAAGCATTATAGCAGTTGTAATACATTTGCAAGGCAGCATTGGAGCTGAGGAATCTTGAAAGGGGGAGATGTCCAGATGTGGCAACTAGTGACATTAGGTCAACATGCTTCCGGTCAGCCTGTCAGAATCATACATAATAGGGCAATCCAAGCAAGTCACTTCAGTTTTAGGAGACTCATCATAGTGTGAACTTGTGAATTTATTTCACTGGAAGACATCAGATTACAGGGTAAGAAACAATCAAACAAATTATATAAAAAGCATTATGCTTCCGAAAACGAAATAAAAGATGTACTATATCTAGGCACATTTCTACACATCAAAGAAGCATGAGGAAGTGAGGTCTCCCTCCCTGGAATGCTCCTAATAAAGGCAGCCACCTAGATGCTGTGGAAAACAGTGGTCTCCCATTAGTCCATCACTGACTGCACAGGGAAGATGTTCACACTTGTCGAGCTGCCCTGATTGGCTGGTGGCACATGTAGATTGTACTGCAGGGCACTACAGGTAGACAATTAAAAATGCAGTGGTTCTGAATATAGGACCCCCAAAGGCCTCAAAGGATTTGTTGGTATGCGATTGTTGTAAGAAGGAACACCAGGATCAACTCGAGTACAAGAACAATATTATTGTGTATGTAGTCCAGAATATTTACCTCGTCTACAATACCCAGGGTCTTTTGCTTGTGTACAACACCCAGGACCATTTCCTCATCTACAACACCCAGGATCTTTTGCTTGTGTACAACACCCAGAGTCTTTTTCTTGTGTACAAGACCCAGGATCTTTTCCTCATCTACAACAACTAAGGTTTTTCTAATGTACAAGACCCAGGATCTCTTCCTTATCTACAACACCCAGGTGTTTATCACCTATAGCACTCAGATTCTTATTAACCACAACACCTGGGTTCTTTTCGTCATCTCTGGGTGCCATTAAATTAATGTAGAGAGAATTACTGTATTCTAAATAATTCCTTTTCCCTGCCTAGAGAATCAACATCACACGATAATGACTTCCTTTCATGGTGTTTGTTGAGCTTTAAAGGGAAATATTACACCTATGGCAATATACTTTTTAATCTATATTCTTATTTATATCAATATACGGTATATGGTAATACAGTATATCTTTTGACTCTTATTGATAAGCTATAATACTTAATCCTTCAGTCACTCACCTATGGAGGCAGTCACAGGTCCTCCATAAACACCAACATTGTAAAACTCTTTCATTAATCTCAAATGTATCGGATCACTTGAAGATTAGTCCCCCAGAATGTTTTAACTTAGCATTAACTACCCTACTGCTAACTATGATAATCTAATCTAATCTAACTTAACATAACCTAATTCTAACTTAACATAGCCTAATCTAACCTACCTACACCTAATTCTAACTTAAACTGACCTAACATAACAGAGGATAGCATAATCTAACCTAATCTAACTTAACACCCCAGATAGTACAGTAAAACCCTTACACTTCTGGACCTCTCAGATCCAGATTTCAGTTGGTCCAGACGACACCTGGATGTGGCAAATTCATAACTGGTCTCTCTCTGTCCGTATGCCATGTTTTCTCCCCTGCTGCTAAAATGGACCCTATCCACATCTCCTGCCACTATTCACAGCACGTGTACCTCCTCGGGCCCGTTTGTAGTCTCAGTGTGCGTACTGTATCACACTACCTCTCGCTCAAGCCCTTTTGTTGTTCCTTATGAATTTTGTGCCTCGTGGCTGTTTTTGTGCCTGATTTCTTGTGCCTTGCGACAGTTGTGAAGTGTAGTAGTGATGGCACCCAAAAGGAAGAGGGCTGGTGAAGACACGATAACAGAAGAAAATGTCTTGGAATGGCTCCACAGTGACGATGGTGATCCTGGCTTCCAGCTCATGACTGAGGAGACGATAGCAGCTTCCTGCTCAGCCCCCAAAGAGGACAATGATGACAATGAGGATGAAGACACCAACTTGTTTGCTCCGAAGTTATCAGCTGTTCAGGCAGGATTGGACACCGCTATCGAGTATCTGCATGCCAATACAAATGACCCTGATTTACAGAATTAATACTCCCACCTTGATGAGTTGAGGTACGTAATACAGAATACAGGAAGCATCTGGATACTAAGATTGACTCCTTCTTCCATCCTAAAACCCCTGTCAATCCCAGCAGGACTCCTACACCTCGCCCTACTTCTCCATCTTCACCTACAGCTGGCCTTTGTCTACACCCACACCGTCACCTCTATCGTCAAACATTACAGTACTCTTGCTCTCTGACAAAGACTGACTAAACGGTCATAAGTCCAATTGTACAATCACGGCTAAACCCAAACTCCAGCATCTCTCACCAAAAGGTTAGTAATATATTATGTTTCAGTATTAAAATTAAAAGGAGGCAAGTTAAAATAATACAGTAATGTAGTAGTTAAGTACTTACAAAGAATTAAGGTTTCTTTACAGAGTCTTGGATAAAATTAAGTAATATAGATTAATGTATTTTTTCTTATATCTATAGGAAAACACTACACTGTCAGCATCAGAATAAAGGTACTGTATACTTGTTGTAGGACAGAAACACTACTCTTAGTAGAAATAAAACCTTTAATAGCTTTTATGGGTTATTCTTAGTTGAATCAACTTGCATTGTCTGTGTATGTTGTTTGTTCACCTGTACTGTCATCTACCAGGTATGTATGTTTTTGTGTAACTGCATTTTGTGTGTGTACTTTGTTTGTGTACCTGTATTGTCTGTGTACATTGATTGTGTATGTTGCTTGTGTACCTGTATTGTCTGTGTACATTGATTGTATGCCTACACTCTATACACGATGAACCAATATAAACTTATTACTGAATAAATATCTATACAATACCTATTTATCTCTCTACCTCAGTTCAGATGCCACAGACATTCTAAATGCATAATAGACTTGGCTTTTTTCAAACTGTGTACAAAAATAATCATAAGTCCTATCATATTTCTTAGTTTGTGAGACATTTATTCATTAAAATCATCATATAAGCTCACATTGGTTCATCATGTAAACAGAGGCAGTACAGACAGTTAGTGTATTCAACCAAGGATAATGAGAAGAATATCATTATAAAGGATTATTTACATTGTGGTCGAAAATATATACAATGTTCTTTTTCCTTCATAAATAACAATTATAAGTATGTACTAGTGATCCCTTAATGTTCAAAACAGGTACTTTTTGTCTATGTAAAACCTAAATTAAAAAAAATAATAAAATTACAATAAAACAACAGATTCTAATAGTCACTCAAATACTGGGGAAAAAGTGATAAGTACTGATTGCATAAAATCAATTTCACATTTGGTCAAAACTCTATCAAAATTCTAAAAGTTTTTATGGATAACTATATACAGTATATCTAATGTAATTATTCATATGATTAGGATTGTTTGTTTGGAATGTCTCTCAATATATATATAAGATATTTTGACAAATCATTGCAAAAATTATATATAAAAATTAATATTTGTGTGGATGTCTGTAGTGTACATATTGGTGTGTGTGTGTGTGTACAGTATATGAATTAAAACAATGTACAGTGTATCCTTATTTGTACTGTATGTACTGTACATAATCACCAATTTGTATACCTGCACTGTATTTAATACATTAAAGATTGATATTTTATATTTCTCCATTATATATATATATATATATATATATATATATATATATATATATATATATATATATATATATATATATATATATATATATATATATATATATATATATATATATATATATATATATATATATATATATATATATATATATATATATATATATATATATATATATATATATATATACTGTACTATACATGTATACTGTATATTATAGCATAAGACGTACTGCATGTACAGAGCAAATTATCTACAGTAAAAGACTAACATTGTTTAAAAATTCACAGGGTCTAAGATGCTAGAACAAGGTTCTTAGATGCTCGGATAAAATGTAGGATACTAAGACAAGTTTCTGTGACATGAGAACAAGTGTAGGATGCCTTAAAATGTCTACAGTTTCATATCTGGAGTCCAAGAAAAATCATCATGAAGAAGAGGAGGATCTGTACACTGACAACAAACCCTTAACTTAAATTGTGTCTCTGGTAAAATGTCTTTATAGGAGTTAAAAAGAAAAGATCCACAGAACAGGTTATATAAGACCTACTCTAGATAACATAAGAACATAAGAATGGAGGAAACTGCAGCGGGCCTATTGGCCCATACTGGGCAGTCCCGTTTACAACCAACCCCTATTGCTCATATGAGCATCCAACCTATGTTTGAAGCAATATTCGAGTTAATGATGATATTTGGCAACTTGTTCCATTCATCCACAACTCTGTTTCCAAACCAGTGTTTACCTATTTCACGCCTAAATCTAAATTTGTCTAATTTAAAACCATTGTTACGAGTTCGCTCCTGGTTGGATAGTTTGAGTACCTTTGTAATGTCCCCTTTGTTTAGCCCTGACTTCCACTTATACACCTCTATCAGGTCGCCCCTCGCTCTACGTCTCTCGAGGGAGTGCAAATTAAGGTGCTTTAACCTGTCTCTATACTCAAGGTTCCTAATGCCCGGATTAGTCTTTGTCATTCTCTGAATTCTTTCCAAGGATTCTTATATCCATTCTGTAATACGGTGACTAGAACTGAACTGGCAAGAACGCAGGTGTGGTCTCACAAGAAAGCAAAGAGAAAACAGTTTTTAGATGACCTCGCTAGTCTTGTAACTAACACTCCTTTGTATGAATCCAAGTACTTTATTAGCCTTGTTACGAGCAAAAACACATTGTTTACTTGGCTTAAGGTTCCTACTTATCATTACTCCTAAATCTCTCGCAGTCGGATTTCTCTATGGCATCGTTGTTCATCTGGTATCTGGTTTCCCTGTTTACATCTCCTATACTGAGTACTTTACATTTGTCGACGTTGAATTTCATCTGCCATTTTTCAGACCATTCGAAAAATTTGCTTAGATCTTCCTGTAGTTTTGCCGAGTCCTCGCCAGATTTAAATAACACGCCCTATTTTAGTGTCATCAGCAAATTTACTTATGTTGCTGTCTATACGATATTCATGTCGTTTGCATATAATAAAATGTCCAAGTGTCGAAGCCTTTGGGGAACCCACTTCAGACGTTGTTCAATGGATTTGGTGCCGCACGCTCACTCGCTGTTTCCTGTCCTGTAACCACGCCCCAATCCATTTAAGGATGTTACCTTTGATGCCATGTGCTTCTACCTTTCTAATTAGTCTTTCGTGGGGGACTCTGTCGAAGGCTTTGCTAAAGTCGAGATATACCACATCATAATTGTGCCCCTCGTCCACCGATTCGAAAACTGATGAAAAGAATGTTAATGGATTAGTTAGACAAGAACGTCCGCTTGTGAAGCCATGCTGGGAATCATTGATCAATAGGTGCTTTCTCCAGGTGATTTCAGAATAGAGTTTGAAATGATTGCTTCCAGTAATTCTTGCTCTGGGTACTATTGATGTTAGACTGATTGGGCGGTAGTTAGAGGATAGTGATCTATCCCCCTTCTTGAAAATCGGTATTACATTCGCTATCCTCCAGGATTCTGGTACTACACCTGTTTTTAAGGACATGTTAAACAACTTTGCTAAGGGCATACTAAGCTCTTCCTTACATTCCTTTAATACTGAAGAATTTTGTTAATTTCTGAGCAAGAATGATGTGGATCTTGGGTTATTTAGCGACTCAGGAAGGGGTGTAGAGAGGTTGTACAGAGATAGTGAGGAAATAACTATCTGGGCAGGATGTGAGATCCCTGGAATCTCTTCTAGATATAGTGAAATATCTTATGAAGACTTGATTTTTTGCATGAAGAGGTCCTAGTATTATTGAGGGAGGTGAGGTTCATCTAACTGAGGTGTTGAGATCCTTTGGTTGTTTAGGGTCTAAGACAGGGATGGAAAAAGGTCCTACGGGGAGTAACAAAGAATTATGAAATATTTGAGGTGTTCTAGATAATATTAAAGTCTTCAAAAAGGCTGGTGGCTGTCTGCATCATAATAGTGAGGTCAGAGACGTGTCTCTTGATCTGCTTCTCTCTCTGCTGACGCTCTTCAGCATCCAGTGTGTCCAAGTTATGCAAGAGATCAGAGATCCCTGGGAAGCCTGAAGCTGCATAGGAGTCAAACTGACTTGGTGCAAACACAGCATGTCTGTGGGAGTGAGTACAGTATTGACATCAGGCAGTTCCTCTGTACTATTGCACCTACCTTACCATAACCTAACCTAGCTGACAAAGGATGGAGATGACTTGACTGTGGTAGTACTGTACTATACTCAGATCATATAGCCTCTTAGTAATGCTCTGCCTGTACTAACCTTTCTGGCATATTTAGAGAGATAACTGAGGAGTGTGTACAGCACTTACACCAGAATAATTCTCAATATACTGTACTGTAACACAATCCTACCTCAACCTTACTGAACTAGTGAGCTTAAAGTGAACATGGCGAGTCTGAAAAAGTGAGTACTGTACGGTCCTTATCTCAGGCAGCTCTTCAATAGTACCACCAGCATAGCTTAACTTAACTCTTCTAATATACATATAATTGGGTGAAGCAGATTTTAGAAATTTCAATTTACAGTACAGTATCTAGGTTAAGACATTAAATTTTCTCATATCACCACTGTACATTATATATATATATATATATATATATATATATATATATATATATATATATATATATATATATATATATATATATATATATATATATATATATATAGTACTTAAATTTGTATTTTGTATTCGTTTTCATATAAAGTTTCAGAAACTAGTGAACCACTACAAGGCAGGTTAATAACATGACAGTACAATACCCTCTTACCTGGTTTGTGGTCGACCTGGTAGACCCGCAGGTAAGATAAACACCTGCTCCAGCTTCATCATCTGGTCGTTGATGGCTCGCAGCATCACGGGGCTGAAACAAACACAATACTGTACCTCAACCTCCAAACACTTCAGACTCAACTTCCAAACACTTTAGGCTCAACTTCCAAACACTTTAGGCTCAACTTCCAAACACTTCAGACTCAACTTCCAAACACTTTACTCAACTTCCAAACACTTTAGGCTCAACTTCCAAACACTTTAGGCTCAACTTCCAAACACTTTAGGCTCAACTTCCAAACACTTCAGACCTCAACTTCCAAACACTTTAGACTCAACTTCCAAACACTTCAGACTCAACTTCCAAACACTTTAGGCTCAACTTCCAAACACTTTAGGCTCAGCTTCCAAACACTTTAGGCTCAACTTCCAAACACTTCAGACTCAACTTCCAAACACTTTAGGCTCAGCTTCCAAACACTTTAGACTCAACTTCCAAACACTTCAGACTCAACTTCCAAACACTTTAGACTCAACTTCCAAACACTTCAGACTCAACTTCCAAACACTTCAGACTCAACTTCCAAACACTTTACTCAACTTTAAGCCTTTACCAACTTGACTGCTTTGAGCTCAACTTCCAAACCTTTAGACTCAACTTCCAAACACTTCAGACTCAGCAAACACTTCAGACTCAACTTCCAAACACTTTAGACTCAACTTCCAAACACTTTGGGCTCACTTCCAAACACTTTTAGGCTCAACTTCCAAACACTTGAGCTCAACTTTGAAGCTTGCTTTACAGACTCAACTTCAAATATTTCAGACTCAACTTCCAGCCACTTTAGGCTCAACTTCCAAACACTTTGGCTCAACTTCGACACTTTGGGCTCTTCCAAACACTTCAGACTCAACTACAAACACTTCAGACTCAACTTCCAAGACAACTCAACTTCAAACACTTCAGACTCAACTTCCAAACACTTTACTCAACTTCAAACACTTTGAAGCAACTTCCAAACACTTCAAATATTTAGACACTGCCTCAACTTCAAACACTTTACTCAACTTCAAACCTTTGAGCTCTTTAAAACACTTTGGGCTCAACTGCAAACACTTTAGACTCAGCTTAAACCTTCAGACTCAACTTCCAACCTTTACTCAACTTCCAAACACTTTACTCAACTTCATGCTTTGGGAAACCAACTTCCGTACTTCAGACTCCAGCTTTCTAAAACCGCTTTCAGACTCAACTTCAAGAACCTTTGCTCTAACTTCCAAACACTTTGAGCTCAACTTCCAAACCTTTGAAACGACTTCCAAAACACTGAGCTCAACTTCCGCTTATGGACTCAACTTCAAACCCTTTGGAAGCCAGCTTCAAACACTTTAGACTCAACTTCCAAACCTTTACTCAACTTCCAAACACTTTAGACTCGGCCCAAACACTTCAGACTCCTTCTGTGCTCATTTCCAAACTGCTTCAGACTCAACACCCGTACTTTGAACTCCAACTTCAAACACTTCAGACTCAACTTCCGACACTTTACTCAACTTCGACCTTTTAGACTCTATTAAACACTTTAGAACTCAACACAAACACTTCAGACTCAACTTCCAAAACACTTTACTCAACTTCCAAACTTACTTTACTCAACTTCAAACACTTTATAAACTTGACACACTTTTAGACTCAACTTCCAAACACTTTAGACTCAACTTCAAACACTTCAGACTCAACTTCAAACACTTCAGGCTCAACTTCCAAACACTTTACTCAACTTCCAAACACTTTACTCAACTTTATTATCAACTGAACACTTTAGACTCAACTTCCAAACACTTTAGACTCAACTTCCAAACCACTTCAGACTCAACTTCAAACATAGACTCAACTTCCAAACACTTCAGACTCAACTTCCAAACACTTCAGACTCAACTTCCAAACACTTTAGAACTCAGCTTTCAAACCACTTTGGGCTCAACTTTCTCCAAACACTTTGAAACCTTTAAACCTTTGATGGCTTCCAAATACTTTGGGCTCAGCTTCCAAATACTTCCGACAAACTTGACGCTGAACTCAACTTTCAAACACTTTGAAACCAACTTCCAGAATAAATCCTTCGATACTTTGGGCTCAACCCAAACACTTTAGACTCAACTTTCAAACCCTTTCCGTCAACTTCCAAATACTTTGGAAGTAACTTCCAACCGCTGGAGGCTCAACTCCAAACAACTTTTGAGAACCTTTGACACTTTGGGCTCAACTTCCAAACACTTTGGGCTCAACTTCCAAACACTTTGGGCTCAACTTCCAAATACTTTAGGCTCAACACAAACACTTTAGACTCAACTTTCAAACACTGGGCTCAACTTCGACACTTTAGGCTCAACTTCCAAACACTTTAGGCTCAACTTTCCAGGCATGACAAGCTTCGATACTTTGGGCTCAACTTAAACGCTGGACAACTTTCAAACCTTTGAATAACTTCCCGAATACTTTAGGCTCAACTTCAAACACTTCAGACTCAACTTCCAAACTTCTTTAGACTCAACTTCCAAACACTTTGAACTCAACTTAAACACTTTGGGCTCAACACCGACACTTTGGGCTCTGTTTCCAAACCTTTGGCTCAACTTTGAATACTTTTGAAATATTTAGAATGCTGACCTCAACTTCCAAACACTTTAGGCTCAACTTCCAAACACTTTAGGCTCAACTTCCAAATACTTTAGGCTCAACTTCCAAACACTTTAGACTCAACTTTCAAACACTTTAGGCTCAACTTCCAAATACTTTAGGCTCAACTTCCAAACACTTTAGGCTCAACTTTCAAACACTTTAGGCTCAACTTCCTTTAGGCTCAACTTCCAAACACTTTAGGCTCAACTTCCAAACACTTTAGGCTCAACTTCCAAATACTTTAGGCTCAACTTCCAAACACTTTAGACTCAACTTTCAAACACTTTAGGCTCAACTTCCAAATACTTTAGGCTCAACTTCCAAACACTTTAGGCTCAACTTTCAAACACTTTAGGCTCAACTTCCAAATACTTTAGGCTCAACTTCCAAACACTTTAGGCTCAACTTCCAAACACTTTAGACTCAACTTTCAAACACTTTAGGCTCAACTTCCAAATACTTTAGGCTCAACTTCCAAACACTTTAGACTCAACTTTCAAACACTTTAGGCTCAACTTCCAAACACTTTAGGCTCAACTTCCAAACACTTTAGGCTCAACTTCCAAACACTTTAGACTCAACTTCCAAATACTTTAGACTCAACTTCCAAACACTTTAGGCTCAACTTCCAAATACTTTAGGCTCAACTTCCAAATACTTTAGGCTCAACTTCCAAACACTTTAGGCTCAACTTCCAAATACTTTAGGCTCAACTTCCAAATACTTTAGGCTCAACTTCCAAACACTTTAGGCTCAACTTCCAAACACTTTAGACTCAACTTTCAAACACTTTAGACTCAACTTCCAAACACTTAAGACTCAAATTCCAATCATTTCTATACACATTCTCAAATAACTAGAATAAAAGGTAACAACTAATATTATAAACAGATTAAATACAATAAACAAAATATAAAATTACAATTATCATGTGAAGATTAGCCCCAACTTATTTTACCTTTTATAGTATGCCCTTAAAGCTCACAGTTTTAAAGCTTGCGTCCCTCGGAAACTCACGGATTGCCATGGAAAATATATAAAATAAATCTGAGGCTGTGAGCCAGGGATCAACAGGAGTCATCACTACAGGACAGTACAGAGCACCATATTTCCCAGGTCATAAGATGCACCCTATAATTAGCAAGGTATAATTTGGAAAAATAATTTTGGCAAATTTAATAGCCTACAGCAATGACAAAGCCAAATCACTGGCTATATTCTATCATGTTTCTTACTTCCACAGCTCACTAACACTGTGTGGACCTAGGGCCGGATTGATAGTCATTACGAAGCACAATGCCAATTGATAGTGTTCGTGCTGGTCTATTAATAGTCATCCCGATAAACGAGGTATCGGAAGGGAACCGTACGCATATCCCTGAAATGTTGGAAACAATATCAGGTGGCTACCCCCACCCGATAGCTGCCTTACGACAAATAATAATCATTATATTTTATGAAAGTTCTTCCAGTACTTTATATTACAGATGTCTACGTCGAATTATATTATTTTTTTTTGATAAGAACAATTAAAAGAAGTGTTAATACGGATAAATGAACTTTCACAACACTGTTATGAACTTGAAACATTATTGGAATGTTGACATCACAGCTCCGACTTCGATGACGACTGCTGTCTGTGCTGTGAGCCTCATCTTCAATTAACAATTACTTCTGTTATCATTTAAGGTATGTTTCTTATCTTTATTCATTCATACAATATTTTTGTCGTAGTAGTAATAAAATTTCAACCATCTGAACCACGAAATTCACTTATGTTTTCCGGAATGAGGCAAGTAGGTGGTAGGCAGCTAGCAAACAGGGAGGTACTACCACCTAGGAAGATATTGGAAGCATAATGTGTTGTCTAATGGTAGACCCTGCTGCCATATGGCATCACGAATATTGTGACCAAGTCCCAGGTTGCTGATCTGTCTTTCTGCCTCATTTACACACAATTGCAGGATCTCAATTGTTTCTCTTACTATTGACAAGACAACATACTGTACATATAGCGTTTCTAACTATTGATTATTATTATTTTTTCTTTATTATCATTATTACAGTGTTGTTATTATTGTTATTATTTTATTTTACTTTTAATTATAAATTTTATTTACTATGAATTACTATTATTATTATTAAATTTTCGCCCCCCAGGCCCCGATGTGGGTCATTGACCTGTGCCCAGGTGGGCTAATCCCCTTAAAAAAAAAAAAAAGCCAAGTGAGCTCACTCTATCTTGAGTTAGCAAGGAAAATATCACAGTTTTTGGTCCAGTAATATAGTTTAGTATAAACGTTAATATTCATTTTCAACAAGATATAAGCTAAGGTTTACGATCTACAATGTCTTGTGTGTGTCAGGCAGAAATATGACGACATAAGTAAGCATTAGATTTCATTTTCTTTATTCTTTAGCTTAAATATTTACTGTCACTAATAAAATAAAGAATAAGTACAGCTTACTATCAATGCAAATAATTTGCTCTAAAATTCTGCAATACTCGGCTACATCACAGTTTTAATGATACACACAACACCACTCTTTGGTTAAAAAAATCTATTTACTTTTAATTTTTACAATTGATATTTTCAGGCCTTTCTTTTCCTATCATTTATGGTGTTGCTTGTAGAC